ATTCCCTTGGTGCTCTTATAGATATATATTTTACACTTTTTCTTCTGAAAAAAAATATATCTACTTTCTTTTTGTACATGGGTGGCACACTTTGGTGCCCTTTACAGTACTTTTCTCTTCTAAATTTTTAATGTATAGCATGAGTAACACAAAAATCATTTAAAGTTTTTCTAAACTGTGTCATTTTACATCTAAGAACAACACTGGTAGATGTACCACCATGGATGTTTTTATAGAAACATGTATGTGTTCAAAAAGTGAAATTAATTTTTTCTAATGGATTTTATGCAGTAGTAACTTTTTTAAAAATTCTTTTCCATATTAAGAGAAATTGGAGAATCTTGAGAAAATGATGTAATTGAGATGTGAACTTTCCTTTCAGATCATTGAGGGGAGGGAGAATAGGTGTTTGACCTTATCTCTTAAGCAGGCTACATCGGAGTTTTGCCCCTCCACCAAGGCTCATAAGCACATTGCAGGCTCTTTGACATGGAAGCTGAAGTGGTTTTCCGAGGAGAGTCTGTTCAAGTTTGTGGCACTGTTGAAGGCAATCCATGCTGGAACAACTGAGTCTCCTTTGCTTGTAAGATATGTAAATTGAGGAATTTTTGTTTGTTTCACATTCTTTCCATTCTTTTATACGGGCTTTGATCTCCCTCTTTGGTTTTTATTTAATTTCTTTGCCTGTGTTTTGCCGGTTTTCCCAGTCCATAGTAGTTTGTTTTGTTATTTTTTTGATTTGTATTCTTTGAGCAGTTCATCTCTTTCCCATGTATAGATTTGTACAATATAGAACATCAAATGGAATTTTGTTTTGTTTCCTTTCTTGGGTAGTGAATTTTGTTTTACCAGCATCCCCGTATATTATTCGTATTGTATAAGCAGAGAAGTCAGTCAGTCAGTTAGTCAGTCAATCCACATGAATCACATGTTTTTCAATGGTTTTCTAGAACGTATTCAGTTTAATTATTATTTCACCAAAGTGGATGTTATCGAAAATAAAAGGTGTGTTCTCAAAATTACTCTCAAAAGCTGCTTGTTTTCGCCATGTTATTTTCGTTATTGATTGTCAAAGTATTGATCAGGTGGGCATGGAGCAGTAAATGAACCCAATTCTATTCGGCCAATCCAATGCACACATATAAATTCATCTATGATAAATGTAATAAATTATATAAGTTATTTCAATTTTTAAGAATAAATTGATTTTTTTTTTGTTTTTAATGCAAAATTTTCATTCTAAGTCCTCAGAATTTTTTCACTCTTATAAAAAATGATTAAATTGAAACAGTTTTATAAAATTAATGATTAAATTGTTTCAAAAAAATTTCACATGATAAATGCTCTAAAACACTACTAACTTAGGCTAAGGAACCAACTGTGCATCTTTCATCACCCAATTCTTCCTAAAGTCATGTTCTCCGGGTACTGGGTCACTCTTGCATTAGAAAAAAATGAAGGCCTGACATACTACTCAAAAGGACCATTATCCAACAGGAGATATTCCTCTCCAAGTTGAGACAAGTAGGTTTATTT